GAAAATTCAAAACTATCACAAAAATGGGTCAAATATTCCCCATTGAAGTTTCCGAAGGCCATTGAGAGTGGAGTGAGGTCAAAAAGATATTAGATAATTATGCAGGCACACAAGAAACTAGCCAGCCCGTTTTTTTTATTGACATTCTTTTTGAAAACCGGTAACGTACTTTTTGAGAGAAACGAAACTTTTTTCAAACAGGATCAAAATTTAGTATTTGCCCCACTAGTTCATGACAAAACTAGATGTTTATAAAGTTCGATTGTTAGCTCAGAAAATGAGTGTGCTCGAATGGAAAAATCAGCGAAGCATAAGATGCAAATGTTAGTGCAACCTTGTTAGTCGAAAGTTTATCGATTTGCTCAATTTTTTACTACCAGATTTATGTTCGAGATTTCTTATATTTGAACGACCAGAGCTGATACTTCTGAGCAAAACTCACCAACTAATCAAAGTGGCGTTGAAGTTGCATGCAGGGCCTCCTAATTGTCCGCATCAATATTTAGTGAATTTGCGAGACATCCATGCTTGGTCATTTCTCTGTTCTTTACTGCTGAAAATTGTATTTTTTGGGTCTTTCAATAATTGTACAAAGCTCAAAAAAGTAATTTAATTGAACTAATAAAAATTTTGACAGCAATTATAATGAGCAAGGTTAACCAAAATTTTTTCAAATCAAACCCAAATCAAACGCGCGTTCTTGAATATCCTAAATCCCTCCCTGAGGTTATCTCAATTTGTTCATTTTGCTGCAGACCAGTTCACTTCCTACATTCCTCTGGGGGTGATTGTGGGTCAAGTGTTGCTCATTTTCCTGCTGGTGTTCTTCACAGAAAAGTTCTTCGTCCACAGAGACCATGGCCACTCGCTTCCCAAACACACCGAGAGGTTCTCTGCTCTCAAAGCCATGGAACTCACGAGTAGCGCTGTCCCACGCAGGAACTTGTGAGTACTTTTCGTGTTAAATGAAAAGTATGTGATTTGGGTTTCATTATCACTAGCCTTCAATTGTGATAGATGCTGAGGTCCATAGAAAGGTCTGGTGCTTTCAATCAGATTATCTAATTTCCCTCAATTTATCCATTTATCTCAGTTACTAAGCTAAGATGATAAAAACGTATTGAAGTGCTAACAGATGATTCATTCAAGGTTTTTCGCAGAACTCGAATTACTTTTAACTAGTACACATCTAGTACATATATAATAAAAGAAAGAAGTTTGTGAGTGTGCGTGCGTGTATATGTTTGTTAGGCGACCAAACTTCCAGGATTAATCGCACGACCGTGAAAATTAGATCTAAGTGCACATGAATACGAGAAGTGATATGGGCTATTGGATTTCTTAAAATTCGCTCAATTTCCCTTCAGAAGGGTAAAAAGGGTGGGGCGATGGAGTTACGTGACTTCTACGTTTCTCTCGCATTTCATTTTCACAGTGTTGGTTCTTATTGTCAGAAAACACGAATGAAACCTGAAATTTAATTCGATTTTAGCTACATTTTTATGGTGCAATTCATTTTGCGAAGTTCGGGTCTAAAATTTTATCCTAAAGCGGATACAACTCACCTTCAGGGACATTTTGGAGAACAGAATTTTTTGAGAGCCGAATTTTATCGTATTACGATCTCTGGTATGAGAAAGCTCCATGAAGACTGAGGTTCCACTTTTCATTTCTCGTATGTAGTTTTTCTGTATCACAAGTGTTTGCTTCGACTCCGAGTATGTTTCACTGTGTATGTGTCAGACGGGGCCTAGGAAATTAGACGATAAGCAAATTAGACGGATGCTACAAAAACGAAATTAGACGGAGTTTATTTCTTACAGATCTGGCATTTTAGACGAAAGGGAAAGGGCCAACAAAAATTTTTCTTAAGAGTCAAGCTTCACAAATACAAAAAGAACATAAAATGTCAATACCTATCAAAACAATTAGTTTAAATGAACATAAAATCTCAAATCTGAATATTACAGGAGAGTTTTGAATTGAATAAATTATGCATGATTGACTTGTAAAGTTTTTGGCCACCGAAATTGAACTGTTGTCTACAAACAATTTTATTTTTCTAACGCAATTTGTGTGCAAACAAAGTTAATTTCTCTCACTTTCGTCTATTTTCTCACAATTGCATTTTTGCAAAACCGTCCAATTTCCTTTTAAGTACCTCCGTCTAATTTGCTTATCGTCTAATTTCTCAACCCCCGTGTCAGACAGTGCTCAATATGTGTGACATTGTTTGTCATTACACTTGCAATTAGCAACTGTCGTCAAATTGAGTACGGGATTTTTTCCTTTATTATACTCTAAAACACTTGATTCACTTCTGGTTTGTTTTGATGATCTCAAAATAAATTAAATAAAGAAATTGCATACACATTGATCTGTGACTTTTTATTCCTAATGCTTAAAATTGTCTCAATTTTTCTCAAAAGAATAGTTTTTTTTTGTTTTTTTATTGGATGAAAATTATATATTAATTGTTTTGTTTAAATGGAAATTTAAAAAAGCCAAAATGATTTTGTCATTGTTTTTTTGTACAATTAACAAATTTTATGTTAGAAAAACTGTAATTTTTTTGGCTGAAGTATTTTTTGACTCAACCTTTCAAAGTAGCATCAATTGTTCAGATTGAGCATTTTTGTTTCTTTTGAGAGCAGATTTATATGATTCTACCCATTTAAATAAACCTGCTCGCATTAAGGTTAAGTAGGCTAAATATTCGATTCTATCGGAATTTTATGCTAGTTTTGTTAAAAATTATTATCGATTAAAGCTACCAAAATTAATTTTTAAAAGGATTAAAAATTCATTGAAATTGAATAAAATGTTGTAATTGAATAAAATGTTCTATGAATATTCATAATTTGGGGTAAATAAGAGAAATGATTTTTTTTTCAATTTTGGCCGGAATGGCAGTCAAATCATTGAACAATTGGTTTTTAAGGCTTGCAACTGATTTATTTCGAAATTTCGTAAAATCTGCTGAAAGCATATTCATTTAAGATACTGCTCAGAATGAATCGATGGTTAACTGGATAGTCTAAATCTCCTATTTTACGCGGGTCAATGACAAAAACTTATGGGTTCCTTTAGAAAGAACTGTGAATTATTTTTTAAAATTTTTGACTTTGGATTAAAAAAACCTTCTTTTTGCATTTTTAAGTTCTGATTTTGTTTCTGTTGGCTTTATTGCCACCGTTTGTTATTTTGTTTTTTTATTGAGTTCTTTGTGATATTTTCCTACTAGTTTTTCTACTGAATAGTCTAAAGCTACTGATATTGGCATAATTTACTTTAAGGTTTGTTTTAAAAAAATGAAAATCAAACAATCCATTCCTGCTTCAGTATGTTTAAGCAACATTTGAAAAAATACATATCAGAAAAAGTTTTAATATCAGAAACATAGATTTTGTAAGCAACCGTTTTGTATGAAAATTTTGGGATGTTTTCTGTTTTTCTTTCATACTTTTCCTAATCCTTCTTGAGGTATGTTTTTTCTTTTGCTTATTTTATAATTTAGAGGATTTTGAACCCCCATGGACTTTATTTTTTGGAATTTCTTAGAGTTGACAACATTTTTGCAAACCTTGATGGCGACCTTTTTTGTACAGCCAATGAAGCTAAATCAGATTTTAAATAATTTTTGCTGCATTTTAATGCCTGTTAAATGAAGCATTGGGAGAGGCTCATTGAGATTCGCATTGATTTTCGTCTATCGACTGCAAAACAGCAAACATTTTTGTTGATAAAAGGGTTCTGATTCCACCTTAGTTCAACCAAGGGGTGCGGGCCAAAAGAGAGAAGTGGTTGCGTCTCCTCCTCTCAATCGAAAGGTCGGAAGCTCGAGGCCCATCATGATCCAATCTTATTGCATGAGGGTGAGGAAACATAACCTCATCCAGCAAAATATCCAAAAATGGGCACATAGATTTTAAGCAGGGCACAACATGGGTTCTCCGTGAAAAGCTGAACACTAGTATGTTGTTCCTTTCCCTTGAGATAAATAGTCTGAGTCCCGCTTATGTACTATGTCTTACTATGCCTGGTCGGTGAGTATAAACTAGATTTGAGTAGGGGTTCGAAAACAAGGCGACGAATCTTCCCTCCGTTTGAAAACTGCCCTCGTTGAAACCATGAGTCCGCTCTTGCTAGACAAGTTTAATTTTAATTCAATGAGATTCCTTTTAATTCAATTCTTGGTTGTAGAAATGATGACTTGAACTATGGGACAGAGATACATCAGCAGGGGGGCGGGGCAATGGGTGGGGGCACTTATTCCTCCGACAGAGACAGAGACAGAGACAGAGACAGAGTAGACTACAGAGGTCATGCTGGTCCAGTGAACTACCACACATATCAGACGGTGACAGGCGGCAGCGGCGCCATCATTTGAGTGCAGGGCATTGAAAAGAGAGAGAGAGAGAGAGAGAAAAAGGAAGAATTAAATATAAAGTATATCATAGTCCCACTTTGTAATGACAATAACTTTATTTATACTTTTTGCCCATTAATTTATCACATTTCAAAGATTACTGAATTTTTAAGCCTTGAAACAAATTTTAAACTATTGATGACTTTTTGCAAACTTTGCAGACTGTTTAAAATTAAACAATTCAATTTTCGCGCTATAAACACCCTACTTTGCAAAAATTTACTCCCGGGCTGAGGTGCTCGACTCATGATTCGACCGAAACGGTCGAACGATGTCCGTTTTCAACTTTTTCAGTCGAACGGTGTCCGATTTCGACTTATTGGGTTGAACGATGCCCGTTTTCGACTTTGTTCGACTTAACCGTACATGTTCGACTTTGTTCGACTTTATCGGAATTTTTTCGCTTTTACCAGGAATTAGCTTTGCTCGCGCGGCGTCAAGGATTACTTTCTAATTGAATTTAGCATATGGTATTTATTGTAATACTTGATATAATTCAATTTTGGGGGGGACCTGGGTCGAGATCGCGGATTTATGTTGCGACCATTTCGACTCAAAATGTGTATCTTGCGACCATATCGACTCAAACTGGGTATGTTGCAACCATTGCGACTCCAAATGAGTATGCTGCGACTTTGCGCGACCGAAGAAACTTTAAGCGACTTTTTGCAGCCCAAACAAGATATGTTGCTACTTTGCGCGTCCCAAATAAGGTATGTTGCGACCATTGCGACTCAAAATCGGTATGTTGCGACTTTGTGCGACGGAAATATTTGCGCGACTTTGCTCGACCCAAAACAGACATGTTGCGATTTTGTGATTCGACCCTGTTCGGCTCTATCGACCCTATTCGACTCATGATTTGACCCGGCTTGACCCATGATTCGACCCTGTTTTTCTCATGATTCGACACCGTTTGACCCATGATTCGACCCCGTTCGACCCATGATTCGACCCTGTTGGACCCATGATTCGACCCCGTTCGACCCATGATTCGACTCTGTTCGACCTATGATTTGACGCTGTTCGACAAATGATTCGACCCTGTTCGACTCATGATTCGACCCTGTTCGACTCATGATTCGATCCTGTTCGACTCAGGATTCAACCCTCTTCGACTCATGATTCGATCCTGTTCGACTCATGATTCGGCGTGTTCGACTCATGATTCGACCCTGTTCGACCCATGATTCGACCCTGTTCGACTCATGATTTGACCCTGATCGACCCATGATTCGACGCTGTTCGACCCATGATTCGACCCTGTTCGACCATGATTTGACCCTGTTCGACTGATGATTCGACCCTGTTCGACTCATGATTCGACCCTGTTTGACTCATGATTCGATCCTGTTCGACTCATGATTCGACCGTGTTCAACTCATGATTCGACCGTGTTCGACTCATGATTCGACCCTGATCGACTCTATCGACCCTGTTCGACTCATGATTCGACCCTGTTCGACCCATGATTCGACCCTGTTCGACTCATGATTCGACCCTGTTCGACCCATGATTCGACCCTGTTCGACCCATGATTTGTCCCTGTTCGACCCATGATTCGACCCTGTTCGACCCATGATTTGACCCTGTTCGACTGATGATTCGACCCTGTTCGACCCTGTTCGAGTCATGATTCGGCCCTGTTCGACTCACTATTCGACCCTGTTCGACTCATGATTCGACCGTGTTCGACTCATGATTCGACCGTGTGCGACTATCGATCCTGTTCGACTCATGATTCGACCCTGTTCGACTCATGATTCGATTTTTTCGACTATAGTGTTCGTTCGACCGTCTTAATTTGCAACAAAAATCGGACTCCGTTCGACCACGTCGGTCGAATCATGAGTCGAACACCTCAGTTTCCAGTAAGGTTTCCATTAAGAGCGTTTTCGAGAGCGTTTTTCACAGATGAAATAATCACGCTCTTTAAACTGAAGTTGGCGAATTTAGTTGGTCAAATGAATTCCTATATGTGATTAAGGTATATTAGTCAGAAATAGAAACGATCGTTGAAGTGCTTCCAAAGCATACCGTACAATCTTTTGCTTCGTAAATCTATTTACGATCGTCTTCCTTTCCTGCCTTTTTAGTTTCTTTCTTTCTTTCTTTCGTGCGTTTTATCAAAAAATCTAGCTATTTTATTCTATATATTTCAAAAAAAATCATCCCCGGTAGTTTCCCAATTTTCTTTTTTCTTTAACAAAAATGAAAAAAAAAACAACGAAATAAAATTCTTCAACAAAAAACGTTTATACCACATTGAAGATACTGACACCGTAAATTCAACTTTGAAAGATGTTTAACCTACGGAAAGTTTTTGTAAAATTGTGCGGTCTGAAAATTTGCAATTTGGACAAGACTCTGGTCCGACTCTATCGCAAACAATAAATTACGTTTATACCACATAAACGTAATTTATTGAAGATTTTTTTTGATGCCTAAAGCATACGGCAAAAAATTTATGCGTACCCATAAACGTAATTTCTTTGAAGATTTTTTTTGATGCTGAAAGCATACCGCAAAATATTTATGCGTACCCATTTTATCCTGTCTCTTGTTAACTATCCCACTTAGAACTTTTTATACTTTTGTAGATAATTTACCCTATCTTATAACTTCATTATAAAAAAAGTAGTTCTACAAAAGCAGTTTTTTCCCAAAAAAAAACAACAACAAAGTTTAAGAAAACGCCATAAAACTTTTGGATATATCCGACTGTAATCATAAAATGGGCTTTTCCGACAAAAGTTTTGGAAACAAAAACTTTCGTTGGAAACAGAAATGTTTTTTTTTTTATAATAAATTATTTAGCTATACAGTTTAGCTATTAGAAATTGTTGCATAGTGCTCCTCTCTCTCTGACTTATGCTTATTGTTTTCCCAAGTGACCTTTTTCTCCTAGTTGTGTATGTCCCTTTTCTGTTTTTCTGCTTCTGTATCGCGGGTTATTTCGATTTCGTGTAATGGTGCTGTTGGATCAATGACTGGTGATTTAGTTCGGAGTAGATTACGTACTTCTGTCCCGTTTTTGGTCAGGACAGCCATTTCCATCATTGATACCCTTTTGGACCACTCGAGTGGTAGTTCTGCTGATGCTTTTGCCACAAAAGTGTGACACTCAGCAGATTTTTGTATCTTGCTGGCTGCACCATGTCATACTTCTTCGTATGAGTAATTATTGAATCCGTACGGATTGGCAACTAACTTGGTAACTAACCTGGAAGAGGAAAAAATGTAACTGAAAGATATTCTCCTAATCTTTGCTCTGAGCGTCCTATGATCCTATGCTCTATGTTTACGGACTGGCCGTGTTGTTTAAGTTCAGTTGACTTGCAGTACAAAACTATAGGTATAAATAATAAATATGTATATCAATTGGTTAATTTCAACTGGTGCCTTTATTTCCCTACGCTTGCATTGCTCGATTTTTCAATAATTCATTTCGTTTAATCTCTCTCCTGTCTCTTCTCGTTTTCTTTTGTTGCCTTTTTTCGTCCTGGGGGAATGTACACCAATCGCATCCTCCGCTTACGAGTTCCAATTCGTGCTCTTTTCCGCTCTTCGGTTATTTTTTTGGGGGGGGGGGGGGGCAAGCTAAAAATCTTGTTTTGGTGAAAAACTTCCAAAAATTGCCCTAGAACGTGCAAACCTAAAACGGCTACTTTAGTGTTTGAAATGATATCGACAATTCGCTACCGTTTGACCTAGAACAGTTCATTAATAATTTGCAGCACCCTCCCTGTCAAAAATTAAAAGCGCTATTAAATCTATAAATTGAACTTTAATTATGCAGGATCTGTCAAGACAGTGCCCACCCAGTAAACGCTCCCAGGTCATGACCTTGAATCTCTAAATAAAACTTATGTGGGCTCTTCCCACCCCCCCCCCCCCCCCCCCCTGCGAACTTCTACAATTATTTTTCTGTTCACATTGTCAGATTGTTACAAAAAATTGGCATGAGGACTAATTAGGCTATGGCGAAAATATTTAGTATTGATACTTAGCCTCGTTAAACTCCCCGTTACACAATAAAAATGATGCTTATGCGAAGTGGGGGAAGAGCCCATATGTTATTAGTATTTTAGGTTGTATTCAGACCCAGTTAAAATTTCAGTACTAAATATCAATCCCAGCAGTATGTTCTATTCTTGGCTCGACAAACCCTGTAAGATTTTCTCTTGTTTACTTGATGATTTTACCTAGATACCTGCAATTATGATTTTCCTATTTATCAACAAACAAGAGGCTAACTAACCGATACCTCATTTATTGAAAACTAGTGATAATGATCGGATCAAGCTCAGCTATAGCAGTGCTGCCTGTTTTGGTTCTAGATTTTGCTGTGGCAGAGGCATCGGAGCCAGTGTGTTGCATTGATTGGGCCAAGTGTAACGGTTCCAATTTCGACATCTGTCAAGGCTGCTGTAACTCTCGCATGTACTGTCTCTACAGCGACGAGTACTACAGCGAGTGTGTCCCCAAACCTGTCTACCCATTCCCCCCTCCCCCTCCTCCTCCTGGTCTGGTCCAGAGGGAAGGACTCTGAACCTGTCGCGTCTCTCCCACTCCGGAAATGTGACTCCCAGAGAGATCGCCCATATTTGGTCGACTGCAACCGCAGGACTCACCGGAGGTCGCCATGATGGAGGGCCAGGGGTAAATCTCATCTCATTCTACTTTTTTCAGGGATAATCAAGTGGCTTCTTTGCTCAAAATTGAACACACTTCTCTAATAGTGCAGAACAAATAGAGGGACTAAATATGGAAAGCAGGATAGCGAGAAAAACTTTAAGTAAAATAGGAATCTCCAAAAACAGGTTGACAAAAAATCATTTTTTTTTAAATTCGCCCTCTGGAAAAAATTCGTGACAAAATTGAATATATAGATTTAGGGGATGGCCCCTCTACGTTTTTTCTCCCTCTCTCTCTCTCTCTCTCTCTTAACAAAACCGCAGAGTGGTTCCTTGGGTGGTGAATTCAGCGGGGCGACCGATATTCACTACTATCTACAATCCCTAAAAGCTCAAGTTGGTGAAAATTTTTCTGTATCGTACTATTTTGCTTGCCCACTTTTGTCAATGCGCTTGTGGCTGCTTCGCTTGCACTCGTTATCACAATCGCAAGAATTTCC